CTATTATAAAACTTCAGCTACTATTATAAACTTCAGCTACTATTATAAACTTCAGCTACAATTACAACCTTCAGCTACTATTACAAACTTCAGCTACTATTATAACCTTCAGCTACTATTACAACCTTAAGCTACTATTACAGCTTTCACCTACTATTACAACCTTCAGCTACTATTACAACATCCTTCAGCTTCTATCAAACCTTCAGCTACCAACACAACCTTCAGCTACTATCACATCAACCTTTAGCTACCATCACCTTTAGCTATCACATCAATCTTCAGCTATTCTCACATCAACCTTCAGCTACTATCACATCAACCTTTAGCTACCATCACCTTTAGCTATCACATCAATCTTCAGCTATTATTACAACAACCTTCAGCTACTACCACAACAGCCTTTAGCAATGAATTTTAGCTTTTGTGACTTTTATCATTTTTAAAATATTAAACTTTATTTACAAAAACAAAGCTTTTTTTAGTCTTGACAAAACATTTGTCCTTTTGAAATCTGTCTGCTCAATTTTAGCTACTTTCAGCATTTTACAAATATATAGCATTGAGCTATTGATTTGCTAATTTTAGATTTCCGTTGCTCGTTCTTGCTTTCAGCTACAGTTTCGTGTTCAGCTTCAGTTTGATAACTTTAGCTCTTAAACTAGCATCGTGCTAACACATTAGCATCTGGTGTTGACTCAATCCTGCTGGATCTACTACTTTCAGCATTTTGAAAAATGTGTAGCATTGAGCTATTGATTTGCTAATTTTAGCGTTCAGCTGCTCATTCTTGCTTTCAGCTACAGTTTTGTTGCTTTCAGCTTCAGTTTCATTACTTCAGGTCTTAAACTAGCATCATGCTAACACATTAGCACCTGTTGTTGACTCTTTGGTTTATCGCCCTCCTGGATGGTCTTCTTTCAGCGGCGACTCGCTCCAGGTCCCAGGTCTGAATCCTGRGAGCGTTCAGAAGTGGAGAGTTTGACTTTTTAAATCTGTTTTCATCCTTGAAGCCCGTGCACGGTGCAGCGAGCCGCTCTCTCACAGCCTATTTGATATTTAAACTTCTCTTGTTGTTTCAGGCTCTGTATGGAGGGGTTTGTATTCCAGGATGGATTTAGTTGTTCGGCTGCTGACAGACCCAGAATACTGATGGTTTCACCTGCAGCACAGTGTTTCTGTGCTCGCTCAGAGAGCGAGCACACTTCTGCCTGAAACACAGTTCTTTTGCTCGTGGCTAAAACAGAGAAGCTCATCCCGTCACACCGGTCTAATTGCCGTCGAGGGGAAAGCGTAGAGCCGGCTGTCTTCTCTGAGACGTGGCTGGACATGATAATGACCTCGCTCGCTCTCTGAGCCTCCATAAGAAGACTGATGGAGGCCGAGGCCAGCAGCTTCCTGAGCTCAAATCACCGCTAATCAGGAGAAAACGTCTGTTCAGGGTTCAGTTTGTGCTGCTGTCAGTCACAGAGAGCTGAGTCCCCACGAGAACTGCAGGTCCTCTCTGGTCCTGATGCTCAGGAACCTNCTGTGATGGATGTCCTGCCTGTTGCTGCTTTAATATCAAACACCAGAACGTCTTGTTTGGGCAGCGAGCGCGCTGCGCTCCTGCAGAGCTGCTGAGATGTGGGCCAGGGTTCACCGGAGGCCGGCCCGTCGGGGGATTTGGGGGTCCGGGGCCCGAGCTGACAGGGGAAAATGTTTTGTAGTCTCCAGAGTGCAGCTTAGTTCACATTCAGCCCCCCCTCACCCCCTCTCCCAGGAGCAGAAACTTGGCTTCAGCGATGATGACTTCTCCAGATGTGCTCCTCACTTCTTCTTCTTCTTCGTCTCCTCTTCATCGTGAGTTTCTGAGCACCACAATTAACGTCTATAAATCATGTCCCGAATACTTCCTGCTCAATCACAGGGGAATATCAGGGAACAGCCCAATAACTCATTACAAAGTGGGGGCTTAAAACAGCCAAAAAGATAAATTGTGTCGTGGAAAAAAAGCTCGAGCAGGACGAGAGYCTCGGTGATTTAATGACAGCTCGCTCTGTTAAATTACAGCCAGATAATTAATAAAAACCTCAAACAGTCTGTTTCCTCACAGATTCCTGATGGTTTTTTTCCTCCACTGTGGCATTCATCAGCGCAGGAAGATTTGCCAAATCCAATTAAAAGACTTCTTATTTACTTTAAACAACTGTTTGACAAGTGCAGGACGAAACAACAAACGTCCTCCAGACTCATTAAAGCTGCAGGAAACATCATCCAACAAACATCTGAGTCTGTTTCTGCAAACTCCCAGCTACCTTCAGCTACTATCACAACCTTCAGCTACTATCGCAACCTTCAGCTACTATTACAGCCTTCAGCTACTATTACAACATTCAGCTACTATTACAAACTTCAGCTACTATCACAACCTTCAGCTACTATCACAACCTTCAGGTACTATTACATCCTTCAGCTACTATTACAACCTTCAGCTACTATTACAACCTTCAGCTACTATTACAACCTTCAGCTACTATCACAACCTTCAGCTACTATTACAACCTTCAGCTACTATTACAACCTTCAGCTACTATTACAGCCTTCAGCTACTATTACAACCTTCAGCTACTATCACAACCTTCAGCTACTATCGCAACCTTCAGCAACTATTACAACCTTCAGCTACTATCACAACCTTCAGCTACTATCGCAACCTTCAGCAACTATTACAGCCTTCAGCTACTATCACAACCTTCAGCTACTATCGCAACCTTCAGCAACTATTACAGCCTTCAGCTACTATCGCAAACTTCAGCTACTATTACAGCCTTCAGCTACTATTACAACCTTCAGCTACTATCACAACCTTCAGCTACTATTACAGCCTTCAGCTACTATTACAACCTTCAGCTACTACAACCTTCAGCTACTATTACAGCCTTCAGCTACAATCACAACCTTCAGCTACTATCACAACCTTCAGCTACTATTACAACCTTCAGCTACTACAACCTTCAGCTACTATCACAACCTTCAGCTACTATTACAGCCTTCAGCTACTATTACAATCTTCAGCTACTACAACCTTCAGCTACTATTACAGCCTTCAGCTACTATTACAACCTTCAGCTACTATTACAACCTTCAGCTACTATCACAACCTTCAGCTACTATTACAGCTTTCAGCTACTATTACAGCTTTCAGCTACAATTACAACCTTCAGCTACTATCACAACCTTCAGCTACTATTACAACCTTCAGCTACGATTACAGATTTCAGCTACTATAACAGCTTTCAGCTACTATTACAACCTTCAGCTACTATTACAACCTTCAGCTACTATCACAACCTTCAGCTACTATTACAGCTTTCAGCTACTATTACAGCTTTCAGCTACTATTACAACCTTCAGCTACTATTACAACCTTCAGCTACTATTACAATCTTCAGCTACTATCACAACC